CTTGATTGCATCCGTGCTGCAATCTGTCGGGGCATAGGCGGAGATGACGAAAAGACACCTTTTCTCTCGCTGATTTCTTCTCACTTTGATGGAACTTTCTAATCTAACAGCACATAACCGACTGTTAATGGGGATCCAATCGATTAGTGCTGCCTCATAAAGAAATATTACTTTTCTGACATGGAATGATGACTATAGAGTCAACGAAACAGCTGCTTAAGACTGTTTGCAAGTGACCTACCCTTATTGAGTTCTTACTCTCTTCCATCAGACATCCGTGTGGCAAGTCGAGACGTAGTCCTTTAAGATCTAATCTCTCCTATTTTACGAATTAGGCATCATCCTACTCACCTGTGTCAAACACTTAACACAATCACTATTGTCGACAGTAGAATTCTACACTTTCTGCCTTTAATGTTATTCCTTCATATGATAGGGTAATATGGAATAAGTTTTCAGATCAATGTAGGTCGATCCAGCCTTTTTGACATATAGTTCCTATCACTGCATCAAGATAGCATCTCTAATCAAGACAAAATAGATTTTTCAGCTATCAACTATACAGAATAGAGCTTTACCAAATAATTCACATCTTCATTATCTTAGTATAATTTTTTTATGGTAATTTGGTTCCCTGATGAGATATATGTTTTCTTGCAGTAGCGTATATATATAAGATTATTATACCTGATAAGTTGCAGTAAACAAAATGAACTCTAGATAAATAGATTTTACTGTACCTGACTTTAGTTAGTTAACAGAACTGATTAGTTAGTTAGTTGTTTTTCTAATCATAAATTATAGTCATTTACCATGATGTCAAAAGTATCCTTGTTACGTCACTCACTATGATTTATTATTCATAATGTATCTTGATTATTAATTTACGAATATGAGAATTCGTCTAACTTCTTGATCGTATTGTGGTGTGTGCCACTGATATCGATAGATATAAGTAGTATGTATCACCAATCAAAAGTGGAACACTTCGTGGCAGAAGAATGAGAAGATCAAAAAGTGAAGAGAACGAGAACAATGAGTGATTGATATGAAAATGAAGGGACTATAAAGTCTGAGATAACTAATGAATAGTTTCGTCGACAGCTTCATTTATCTTGGAAGTCTGATCAGCCCTAATGGGTTGGTGTCTGACGAAATCTCAGCACGGATTCAAAAGGCTCGTTCGGCTTTTGCCAACTTACGTCACCTATGGCGAAGACGAGATATCTGTCTATCAATTAAGGGACGACTATACTGCGCATCAGTTCGTTCTGTTCTACTTAACGGCTGTGAAACATGACCATTAAGAGAAGATACACGTAAGCTACTAGTATATGACCACAGATGTCTTAGAAATATTGCTCGCATCTGCTGGGATCACCGAGCAAGTAATAGTGAGGTTCGACACAGAGTATTAGGAAATGATGGTGAATCAATTGATCAGGTGATGAATCTTCATCGACTGAGATGGTTAGGCCACGTGTTACGTATGCCTGAACACCGTTTACCAAGACGCGCAATGCTGACTAGTGTAGGGGATGATTGGAAGAGAGTTAGGGGCGGCCAAACCAAAACATGGCATCAGTGCTTGAAGTCACTAACTTCTAGTCTAAGCCATGATGACAGATGTAGACTTCCTGGTTGGGATCCACGTGACTATCGTAAACAATGGTTGGAGACCCTGGGTGACATGTCTCAGAATCGATCACAATGGCGTAGGTGTATACAATATTTGTCTTCCATTAAATTTTATGATTAAAATTGCTTCATATCTGTCTTTTTTTCTGCACTATATTCTTATATACAACCTATCTTTTATATATTACCACCACTAGATTAATTACTTCTATGAATCCGGTGTTCATCTTGTTGTGCTAACGAGGTATGGCAACTTGGACCAGTGCATAGATGTGCCTGGTCCAACATTGTAGCTGACTGACTGATTGAATGAATAGCTTGCAAATAACGTATCTACTTTATGGTTGTCAGATTTTACTAAGGAATTCTGTAATTTTGTATTCAATTACATTTAGTTGCTCTCATTTGTATTCTCCTTCACTTCAATATAACAGGTGTACTTTCATTGAATTTTCATAGTTGAAATCATTGTCAATCGAAGCTAGACCATCATGGAAAACCTGAAAGGACTGAACGGCCGTTTCGTCCTATTATGAGACACCTCAGCAGTGTTCATCCGCGATCCCGCCGCACGAGACTCTAACCTAGGACCTGTCAGTCTCGCGCGCGAGCGCTTAACCACTAGACCACTGAGCCGGCTGATATCCAACTGTGTTAAAGCCTTACTTCAACCGATTCATAAAATTGAGCAACCATTCAGCGTACAATAGGACGAAACAGCCGTCCATTGCTTCCAGCTATTCCATGATGGTCTATCTTCAATCGACTCATGATTTCAACTATGAAAATACTGAAATGTCCATAAAAACCCCTTCTGACTTCATTGATTGGTTAAACTTTGTATGAATATATTACAAACAAAGAAACATTCCAGAGTATTTTGAATAAATAGTAGTTTTTAATGACTAAGAAATATGAACACATTACATAAGTAATAGTTTTACAATATTGATGAAATGAGTCTATTGATAAATGATTGTTTTTATTTCTAATTGTCAAGTGAGGTTTCTTTTTTCAAAAATGAACATTTCCAATAATGGTAATACAGTTTCAAATAACCATGATGGTAAGTTTAGTTTCTTAGTTCCCTATAAAAGTTATATGGGGAAAGAAGAAAACACATGAACAGATATTACATATGAAATAAATGATAATTTGGATAATAGCAATAATACAATTAAATTACTCATTAAAAATACAATTACATTATACCATAGGAAACCTGGAAGCACTGGACGGCCCTTTCGTCATATTGTAGGACTTCTACAGCAGTGAGCATCCACGATCCCGCATCGTGAGATTTGAACCCAGGACTTATTAGTCTCGCACATGAGCGCTTAACCTATTAGACAACTGAGTTGGCATCCAACGGTGTTAATGTCTTACGTCAACCGATCCACGTAATTGAGCAACCGTCCACTGCTGTTTTCAGTATGATACTATATCACAACAGACCCGGTTGAACTCCACTGGTCACTGCTTCTCGTTAGATTTCCAGGAAATACCTGTTGGAGCCAGTCGTTAATGAGCATATGATTATAATCAGAAGGCGGTTTTGTGGAGATTTTATAGTTGAATTCATGAATCGATTGAAGCTAGACGATCATGGAAAATTTGGAAGCAGTTGACGGCCGTTTCATCCTATTGTGGGACACCTCAGTAGCAGTGCGCATCCACGGTCCCGTCTCGCGAGATTCGAACCGAGGACCTATCAACATGTTCGCTCTTGTCTGAATCTAAAGAGAAATCGTATATGCATACTCATGATTTCAACTATAAAATTACTAAAATCTCCGCAGAACCCTTTTCTGATAATTACATAACAGTTTGTAAATCTTTACCGATAATAAAGATAGTCTTTTTTTAGCGTAGAAGGGTTGTAGAGATCCTTGAATTGTGTAGTTCTATATTATGGATTAACATTGATAAAATAACTATTCAAAACCAGGAAATTGAACATTACTTTATATAGAGCTTAGGTCATTAGTCAGTTGGAGCTAGACCATCACTAAAGTCTCCACAAAACCCCTTCTGATAATTACTTTATATGCCTGAAATTATAAAACAATACTGATTGACTTCATATGAAGTATCAAACATAATCTGGATAGTCAAATCGGAGAATATATTTTTTATCTTGGTTTTAAACAAATGTGTATTTGAATCACCAATGAGATGGTAAGTCTGGATAAAAATAAGACTAATCCCACTCAAAAAATTCGCTAAACGTCATAATGTCAAAACAATGCTCTTTGATAATCAATAATTAGACTTTTTCTCACCTTGGTAACGTAGTTGAATAAAATATGCGAGAATATAATAGTTTATGATAGGTTAACCACTCAAGTATGCTTAGATTAGTGATAATAAATGTTTCGATTAACATCATCCGATGAATTTAATTTCAAGGATGATTAGTGATAAATGATTTTTAATCACACTACTTACTAATAGTAGCATGTTTCATTACGTTTTTTTGTGTGAAAATTTAGTAGTCTTCAGGAATTTTCTGTGTCGTATACTGAGCTGTCACATAACAACTCAAAACATTCCTGACGACAATTCCAAGAACCTCAGCGAATATATGGGTCAAACTAACAGTTATAGAACAAACTAGTGCCAGATCTTGTATTGAACACTCTTATCTTTTTTAACGTCAACCAACGTCAAGCCAACATCTACTTAATTGAGAACAAATTTAGCTAATGTCATTCATTGAACAACTTTGATCATAGATTTACAACTTCTTGGTTCTCAACCTAGAATCTTGTATTTTGTCAACATGGTTCTGATAAATAATCTATGAATTTCTAAACTAATTCTATGTTTTCATTTGATCAATTCCAATTTTTCATAGTTTTGAAATCATGAGTCAATTAAAGCTAGACCACCATAGAAAACCTGCTCACTAGTGTCTGACTTCAAGAGATATTTCCTGGAGTTCTAGTGAGAAGCAGTGACCAGTAGAGTTCAACCACGTTTGTTGTGAGATATCAACTCACTGAAGACAATTGGTGAGCGGTTGCTCAACTTCGTGAATTGGTTGAAGTTAGACATGAACACTGTTGGATGCCGGCTCAGTGGTCCAGTGGTTAAGTGCTCGCGCGTGAGACTGATAGGTCCTGGGTTCGAGTCTCGTGAGGCGTGATCGTGGATGCGCACTGATGAGGAGTTCCACGATGGGACGAAATGGCCGTTCAGTGCTTCCAGGTTTTCCATGTCAGTTTAGCTTCAATTGACTTATGATTTCAACTATGAAAAATACTGAAATCTTCACATAACCCCTTCTAAATTCCAATTTTATCAAATTATCAGATTATTAAAAAAAGAAAAGAATTTTAATTCACTTACTTATTTGTTTATTACACGATACATTTACCATATTTACTATGAATTATCACATTCACTTTATTTGTCCTTGAAGTAGACTCTTCAAAATTCATAGATTCTGTATAAGGTGGACAGTACAAGTGTAATGTAATAGCAGTCTCTGTTTTACTTGGATTATGTAAACGATGTATTCCAATCTTATCTGTAGAAAAATAAATATAATACCAAACCAATGATAACTAAACTTTTATCCAATATAGTTTAAGAAAATATATTGAACTTGAAATGATAAATAATTACAATTACATAACACCATGGGAAACCAGGAAGCACTGGACGGCCGTCTCGTCATATTGTAGAACTCCTACAGCAGTGTGCATCCATGATCCCACCTCGTAAGATCCAAACCCAAGACCTATCAGTCTCAGGCGTTCTCGAAATCTCAACTTGTTCGCTCTTGTCTAAATCTAAAGGAAAATTGTCTATGCATACTCATGACTTTTTGATAAGGTAGTGGGCGCCTTCTTCTGATAAGTTCCACAATAAAATGAAACAACCATATATTGCTTCTCGGTTCTCAATGGTAGTCTGGCTAAGATCAGTTCATAATTGAACTTATGAAATAACTACAATCCCTACAAACTCTATTATTCTAGTAATATCAAATCTTTCAATTTCCGTGACACCTAAATAAGATCTAGTGTTATGGAAGATGTAAAGATTATACATATACACCACATCAAGATAATTGTCAGCCGTTATCATTTGTTGGTAATTTTTAAATGTTTAATGGAATAAGACTGGAAGATACGTTACATATTATGGGAATGTCCCTGCGATTTTAACCAAATTCATGCCTTTTTAATATTTAAAATAATTTTGTGTAGTTGATAAGCAATAGTCTACGTCTGTTCGGATTGGTTGGTGTGCAATACTATGCAATGGCGTATTATGTTACTTGAATGTAATATCTTGAAAAGAGATAGTTGATTAATTCGAACCTCTTAACAGTGAACCACCAGGTGGAAGTTTTCATAGTTACTTGTAAGGATCTGTAGTTTCATGTAGTTATTATTCAGGTTTGTATTGTCATTCTCTAATAATAATATTCAGCAGTGGATCCTATGTTCTGAATTTCCTCTTATTTGTAACTCATCAGTTGGATGTACCAAGATCCTAATGTTGATATTCTATAGGAAAATGTAAACTCCAATTATTAATAAATCAACAAGTACTTGTATTACTTAAATTTCTCCAAAAACATCTATATATCTGGAGACAAACCAATCTAAGATAATGTCACCTGGTTTTCCACAACAGATGTTGAGGATTTTGTCACAGTACACACAACATGCTAGAGCCCAGTTAATGAACAAATTGTGACGCTATAAAAAAAGATGCAGCATGAACGACTTAGAGAGTATAGTCACACATAAGTGTCTCATTTGCTCTTGTTTCGCTCTACATAGTTTCAATACCGGTGAACTAATGTGGTATATATGAATCCAGCTATTCTTATTTTCGTTATCCCTTTTAAGGATATTTATAACCAATTCTCAAGTCACAATTGGAGGGTTAATAGAGATTTTTGGATTGTACAGTTAATAGATCGGTTAAATTTTAGTTAAACTAGTGATTCCTACTTTTAAGTGATTGTTCAACTAAGATCAGTAAGTGATGTCAGCTAAGTAGCTTGTAAGTGGTTGGAGCCCAGTAAGTAACCAGGTGGATGGTTTGAAATGGATTGAAGTCCCAGTATAGACATCAAAACGGATGCAGATAGATCTAGCTGCGACTAGTCTCAGATACGACAAAACGAGTATCTGGTATTCTACTGCCAGTCATGATGCAAAAGTCGTGGATTTAGAATGTCTATATAGAATCGATATATTTTTTCAAACATTCCATGTAAATGAATATACTGGAAGCTAATTACCAAACTAAACCCTCCTATCTGAAACATCTTACAAGTAACAATTTGTTCATACTAATCGATGTCAGCAATTACAATGAAACTGTTCCTTCTGTTGGTCGATCAAATTTTACAGAAAGAACATTCTGATATCGAAATTAAATTACCGTAAAATGTATATGACGGATTATTGAAGTTTGAAACAAAAAAAAGAACATTCGACTTGCCATGCATGTAAGTGACTTCACCAGGTTTCAATACATCCACTGATTTTACCACTAATGGAAAATTAGTTTCATCGGTGGAGTTATATGAATTTTCTGGATTGAGATGTTTAGGCCAATCGTAAATAGTTTCTTTTATTTGACCTAGATGTATAGATTGAACACTTAGTTAGTAATTAAGGTAGATAAAAAACTTTTATTAATTATCAGAAGGGGTTTTGTGGAAATTTAGTATTTTCATAGTTGAAAGCGTGAGTCGATTGAAGCTAGATCACTATTGAAAATCTGAAAGTACTGGTAGGTCCTGGATTCGAATCTCGCGAGTGCGGGATCGTAGATGCGCACTGCTACTGAGGAGTTCCATAATGGGACGAAACGGCCGTCCAGTGTTTCCATATTTTCCATGGTGGTCTAGTTTCAATTGACTCACGCTTTCAACTATGAAAAAAGTTTTAAACCATAAAACAATCCAGCTTAAATCTTTATTTTTGTTCTCTTCAAAATGTACTAGGTATGGCTTTATGTACATGATTTAAAGTTATATTCTTTTATGTATGGGTTATTGATAGGTTAAGAGAGTGTAGACATGGCATGTAGCTATGCTTATATGCCACTTCAAAGTCAAACTGTAGGTGAGATATCATGAATGAGGTACGCCATCGGAAGAAGTCAGTTATTTCTTTAGTCAAGGTCTCAACTTGTTCGCTCATGTCTGGATCTAAAGGGAAATCGTATATGCATACTTATGATTTATATACGTTATATTTCAGTTCCTAATAACTTTAGTCTTCTTTTTTGTGTAACAGCTATACTAATTTGATTGAAATTGAAATGTTTTAATCATCAATCTATCAATTATATACGAATATGATGAAAAGTCAGTTGGTGAACCATAGCAACGTAAAACTAAGTTCAAGTAGATTGTATTGATTCATACTTGTTACATGTTACAAAACCGTAAGAAGGAGGAGACTGAGTAAAGATTGGTCCTTAGTATAATAAACAACATTGATATTAGTAAAGGAATGAAATTAAGTAAAGAATAAATAAAGATAATAATTGATTTAGCTTATTCATACTTTGTGATCCATGTTGTATAGTAAAATCTAATGATGCCAATCTATGATGTGTATTATTCTTAGGACTCTATCCAGAAAACCTTTATTTACTTATTGTACTCATATCAATAAACCGTAACTACACGAAAACAAGGGAAGTAGTAGATAGCCGTTTCATCCTATTGCGTGACTCCTCAGCAGTGTGTACTCACAGTCATTTACGCTGAACTCGAAGCCAGGACATTCGATCTCGCGCATGAACGCTTAACCTCTATATCAATCAGCAACCACGCAACGATGTTAATGTCTGACTTCCATCAATCCATGATCTTGCGTAACCCTCCGTCCATTGCCTGAGGTGGATAACTGTCCAACACTTGAATAGAGTACAATGTTGTGTTTGTCAACTTTGTTTTTAATTCTGACTTAATTCTAACAATCGTCAGAATTTGTTAGTTAACAAATGCTGAAATCAATAAATCATGTGAAAAGTTAACACTTAAGATTTAAAAATGTGTATAATCTTGATTCAGTGATACAGTTGTATAAAGAATATTCAACAAAATTTCAAATATAGAAGTAGAATAGAATTTATTGATTGACCTCTTTATTGAAAAGAATAATCTTAATATTACCTTTTATAATTTTGACAAAACAATCAGCTCCAGCATGATCATGTATTCCTGTACCTTGATCTTCACTCCAGCATAATAATAAAAGATTATACTTTCCATTGCCTTCATCTATTAAATTACGTGTGTATCTATCATATTTATGTAATAACAAAAAGAAGAAGAAGAAGAATGAAGATTTGTTAATGAAAAACGATTAAACTACTATCAAAACTCCAATTTTTATTCAGATCAAAGTCAATCATTTATGAAGCAACACGGAATCTGATCAATAAGCAAGTAGGTTTGCAAGGTATATGGTGACTGACCACAAATAGGTAAGTAGTATGTTAAGTAAAATCAGAATTTAGTCGTATAGTTGATGAGAAAAGTTCTTCTTTTTACCACAGAATATTGTTAACGAGAATACAGAATATCTGTTCAGTTACCGTTCATTATTCTCTGCGGGATATAACACTATTCAGTCAGTCAGTCAGTCAGTCACAACGTAGAACTTCGTACATACGTACATCAGTTCGAGTTGCCATACCACATTAGCACAGAGATGAATTTGTCAATTTAAATCCCATAACACTATTGCTTAGGATTGTATACATATAATCATATATAGGTCTTAGAAAGCGAATAAGATACCTAATTAAAGCCCTAAGTTCGGAATTTGATGGCTCTTTCGAAATAAGAATCACATCAGTATTAAACAAACCTGATTATGTAACAGTTGTATGCTTCCTTATGATCAGCTTAAGAATAAATTTCATGAAGTCAAACAAATCAATGAAGAAGATTGAAATTCTTCGATGATATTTGTTGAAGATCATGTTAACAATGATAAAATGAACTATTTGGCTCTGGCTCAAGTGATTTGTACTAACTTCTTCCTTATGAGCAATTTGTGTAGTGTTTTCAATCCCATTTAAGATAGTGAATGTGTACTATCCACCATCTTCATGGTGATGTCAATTTATGATGAAAATCAGATTAAAACTAAAAATTAACGTTGATGTATGATTTAAAACTTTTTGTAAAATCCAGATAGATTTTAAACATAAATAAATTAATAGTTGAGATCATGAATCAATTGAAGCTAGACTACCATAGAAAACCTGAAAGCACTGGATTTAAACCTCATGATGCGAGATCGTCCAATGCTTCCAGATTCTCCATGATGGTCTAGCTTCAATTAACTCATGAATTCAACTATAAAATTACTACAATCTCCACAAAACCCCCTTCTGATAATAATCACATGCTCACTAGTAACTGGCTCCTACAGGTATTTCCTAAAATTCTAGTGAGTAGAGTTCAACCGCATCTCTTGTGCGATAGTAACTAACTGAAGACAATGGTGAATGTGTCGCTCATGGATCGTTCATGGATCGGTTGAAGTAAGAAATTAACACCATTGAATGCCGACTCAGTGGTCTAATAGATTAAGCTCTCACGCGTGAGGCTTATAAGTCCTGGCTTCAAATCTCACAATGCGAGATCATGAATTCACACTGCCATTGAGGAATCCCACAATAGGACGAAACAGTCGTTCAATGATTCCAGATTTTCCATGATCTCAATGATTAAAACCTTACTAAAAATCTTCACAAACCCTCTCCCCTTTCTAATATAAATAAAAATAACTTACTTTGTTTTATTAAAAAATAAATATTTTTTCCATTCTGAAAAATCACATTCAAAATCTTTTAATATTGTACTGATTTCATTAATATCAATATGATCTTTATTAAAGATGATTCTGATAGTTTTAATTAAATCATTCAATGTATTAATCATTGGTAATTGATATTTATGATTTGATTGATATAGATTAATATTATTATTATTTGATTGTTTCATTATAGCTAATTCAGTACTACTCATATTGATGATTTAAGTAGTAGTATTATTATTAAGGTATTGAATATAATAATGTTGAATAGTTGAGTTCTCGCTAAAAAAAAATCAAGTTTTATAACGGTTATTTATAGTGAATCTGCATAGAAACATCATCATAACAACATATGATACCCATTTTCTTCTTATTATTCAATTCCACAAATCAACACCAATTATGGATAGGTCTATCATACATGGGTTAATCATTTGGTCTAAACTTGTGATGTAATAAATAGAAAAGAATAGATTCTTCACTTGAATCAAGATCTATATGATTGGACTATTGTGATCGAAGCAGTTTTTTTTTCATTCTTTAGACCAATTATTAGTTTTTATTTGTCTATTTGAATGATATTAGACCGATGACTTTATAATTAGGCTTAATTGTATTGAATTAGATATTGTCCATTCTATAGTAGTTAATCAGTTTATAATTATTAAGATAATAGAATAACACTTTTCTGCGTAGACAATAATGTAAATTGGTTATTGTGTTTAGGAAGTATGTGTTAGATTTTCTTTCATTTAATGTCAGTAAGTATGCAGTTTGATCAAATCATCAGCTGAATTCTTGGAATGTCATTAATAAGACGTTATCGAAAACGGTATTTGTTAATGATGTCTAGAATCAGTTTTTTTTAAATCGTGAAATCTACTAGTTTAAAATATTTAAAATGACACTGACATATTTGTAATATAATAGTTGAATTGATGACCGTTTCGTCCTAATATGGGACTCCTCAGCAGTAAGCATCCGCGATCGCGCTATCAGGATTCGAACCTAAGGCCTATCGGTGTCGCGCGGACGCTTAACCTTAGTAATATTTGAATATTTTTTCGAAATATTAAACTTGAAACAGCTAAACGTTATAAAAATAACCATTTTTAACAAGTAATGGGAATATTGGTCGTTTGAAGCGAACGGTTCTAGTCCAAGAGTGAACATCAACTCTGAGATGCAGGTACATTCAGATGACGAGTCCCGAATAGGAGGAAACTCGCGTCCTGAATTCCACTGCTAGCCATTATCCATCTTTGCTTATCATGCTTGTGAATTTAGGCTATATCGAGGCAATACGCACAGTATGCACATATGCCAATTAGAGACTGACCAGTTGCAGTCCTAAACATCAATAGCTAGATTCAAACAAACAATACTAAGTGAATTTAAAATTCACCCCATCGCACAAGCGAGTGGCTATCAGGACTCAGTAGCTAAGTGGATAACACGATGGCATTTGAAGCGAACAGTACTGGGTTCGAGTCCCAGAGTGAACATCAACTCTGAGATGCAGGTACATCCAGCTGACAAGTCCGAAATGGGATGAAACTCGCGTCCTGAATTCCACTGCTAGCTATTATCCATTTTTGCATATTAATGCTTGTGAATTAAGACAATACCAAGGCAATACTCACAGTATGCATATATGGCCAATAAGAGACTAATCAGTTGTAGTTCTAAACATCAATTGGAAGATCCAAGTAAACAATAACAAGTGAATATTGGTCATATTGTTTAACTATAATTTTTTCATTTTCTTTCTGGACAAAATCATCCTAGTGTTAAGTGAATTGAGAAGTTTCATGATTAAATTATTCAATTTAGAATATAGAACACTCTACCTAAGATACAAATCAGGACTCAGTATCTGAGTGTATAACGCGATGGCGTTTGAAGCGAACAGTACTGGGTTCGAGTCCAAGTGTGAACATCAACTCTGAGATGCAGGTACATCCAGCTGATGAGTCCCAAATAGGAGGAAACTCGCGTCCTGAATTCCACTGCTAGCCATTATCCATCTTTGCTTTAGATATAAATCGTTTATTTGGTTATCTTGTCAATCGATATATGGTAAATGTTAACTTCAAATTACTTACTTACTTAGCTACCCAGAAATAACTGAATGATACTGATACTTCAGAATATCCTATTAGATTGATTTGATTCTAATTACAGTCATTAATAGATAAATCTAACCAATCATTCGTTGAGTAACTTTTGATTTTTACACAGAAATTGTGATTTGTGTTGATAGACCTTTGACCCTGTTAAATTTTTCAGCACTTAGTACGTGTGATTGTTTAAATAACAATTATGACTGACTAGTTGAAGGCTTAGTAATTGAGTTATGTCATTATGATGAAAATTTGTCTTGTACTGTTGTATGTTATGTAACTACTTAATTGGAGTAATGGAACATCTATGGGTATTATGGAGATTGTTTAATTTCATAGCTGACATTATGGATTGTGATTTAATGGTGTAAAGGATTAATTCCTCTATATCTGACTCCAATAAATAAATAATATCCCGCTAACTGATTATTTACTGCAGGCTAAATCTCCTAGTAGAATTACGGGTATACTAGAGATTATTCAAAAACCTGAACACCAGTTATAGAGATAGTTTATTGATGAAGCTCGGTAAAAGTCCGCAAGCGTACAGAAAGCAAGCACACAGGGAAAACAAGTGTGTGTGTATGTGAGTGTTAAAAATCCATATATATTTTTGAGTGTTAATGGATTGTGGATAAATTATTGATTGTCTTTGTTTACAACCAATGAGAGAACAGATTAAGGATTGATGTGCAGACACATGCGCTCAAACAGACTCACACATAAATTTACTAAGTGAATTAATGCTAAGATTACAGAGAGCGCATAAAAAATACAGTAGTTGAATGGGCTTGCTACAATGGTTTTAATGGTTAAACGGTTGATGGAAGAAAAAATGAAGATCGGAAGTTCAATACCTTCGCTTTAGGGTCGTAGATGCATACTGTTAAGCAGAACCATACTAGAATGAAACAGCTGTCTAGATTATAATTCCTTATAGACTAACATCTTATTCTTTGATCGAATACATGTTTATTTTGAAAACGATTAACTTTAAGTTATGACTGAGAGCCGATTGATCCTAAATACAGCCATCTCTCTTTACCATGAGTATTCAATCTAGTGAGAGAACATGATAAGCAGAATAAATTCCCACTTACTATTGTGGATCAAATCCATACATTAAAATAAAGTGAGTTACTGATCACATTTCAAACATAAATAGGGAATGGTAAGCAAAGATGGATAGTGGCTAGCAGTGGAATCCAGGATGCGAGTTTTGTCCTATTTGAGACCCGTCAGCTGGATGTACTTGCATTTCAGAGTTAATGTTCACTATGGGACTCGAAGCCAGTACCTTTCCCTTCAAACGCCATCGCGTTATCCACTCGGCCACTGACCCTTGACAGTCACTTGCTTGTGCAATGGGGTGAAGTAGAAATTTACTTAGTATTGTTTGTTTGGATCTTCCCATTGATGTTTTTAGGACTGCAAACTGGTCTGTCTCTAATTAGCATATGTGCATACTGTGCGTATTGCCTCGATATAGCCTAAATTCACAAGCATGATAAGCAAAGATGGATAGTGGCTAGCAGTGGAATCCGGGGTATAATATTGTACTCATAACTATTCCATACACGGAAAAGAGAAGCTGAGTAATAAGTCGGTAGTTAATTAAAGGTTACCTAAGAAAGGTAAAATATACGGTGTTATTGTTGATAGGCTTACAATACAGCTAGCTACAAATAACATTGACATTTGCCCTCTAAAGCGTCAGATTTCATTGCGAACAAAATCAATACTTGCAATACTGAAACGTCGTTGAAATAGAATAACGTTTCGGAGCATATTCGAAGAAGCCTTAGAACAAGTGAAAGAACGAGTCTAAACAGTGCAATTATCAAATATCTCTTGGAAATTGGACATCAGGTCGATACCTTGTAATCATTCAAGGTGATTAATAAATAGCCAAACCCCAGTCTACTGAAGTTAGCTGAAACCGTTTCGATCAAGCGTCAAAAACTTGATTTACATGTTCAAAAGGAGTTGGTTATTAATCTTTCCTTGCCTTAGTGATAAATATTCCTTCGTTGCATCATAATACTTTCTTTTTTGTCTTAACTCTTTATTGCATTTATTACATCAATGAGTTTTTATTTCAACTATCTTCTAGATTAGTAATCTTACTGTATTAATTGAGCACAGTATGCACATATGCCAATTAGAGACTGACCAGTTGCAGTCCTAAACATCAATAGCTAGATTCAAACAAACAATACTAAGTGAATTTAAAATTCACCCCATCGCACAAGCGAGTGGCTATCAGGACTCAGTGGCCGAGTGGATAACGCGATGACGTTTGAGGCGAACAGTACTGGGTTCGAGTCCCAGAGTGAACATCAACTCTGAGATGCAGGTACATCCAGCTGACGAGTCCCGAATAGGAGGAAACTCGCGTCCTGAATTCCACTACTAGCTACTATCCATCTTTGCTTATCATGCTTGTGAATCAATGCTATATCGAGGCAACCCGACCGTTGCTGCTACCTTGACGTGGTGGTCGGGCTTGCCTATCGTAATGAAGCAATCGAGCTATGCTGGCTGGAACAATCGTTCCTCGAGGTCCTACCATGCCAGACAGGTCGGTTGAAGAGCGGTGAGACTAAAAGCAGCAAACCCAAGGTCCGAAGGCGAAGTCGTACTGTTGACTGTACAGAGGTGTGAAAGCAGTAAGGTGTTTCCTTCAGACAACCAGCATGACAGCGATGCTGCCTTCCCACAAGGAGGGGTGGGGTTAGCAAAGGTCGACCCTAAAAATGCACACCTCGCCTTATCCCACGGATATCCGTCTCCGGCGGTAAGGTTTTTTTTGAAGAACGGAGCTAACACAAAAACTACCCACAAAAAGGTCGTGTGTGACCGACCTCAAGCAGTTGTCCCTTGGGCACTGAGGCCGCGCTCTCAGGTCATTAAGACCACTTCTAACCCGATTTCCTTTTGAGGTACCTCTAGAAGAACCCTTCCATGGTGTGGGCAACCGGGAAGTGATAACTGCCCTCATACCTCTAACAGCACTCAAGACCACTGTATTCATAATCAATCTCCTTCTTCAATTCCTACTATTCCTTCTACCTTGATTTTAACACTAA